TATATATATATATATATATGCTTTCATGTTACAATTATTTAGCCTGTGATATGGATTACCGTTAACATTGTAATATTCATTGTTACGTTAATATGAAAGCATTTAAATATTGGTTGAGAGAGTTGAGAAGCACACATGAAATTGTAAATGAAAGCACTGTTATCCACACTGCTAAATAAATTGCAATGCAATATCGTAATCCATATCGTATGATACAAAAACTGATGGATAAAAAAATTTTCACCCTGTTTACAATATGCCTGCAATAATTGTTAATATATTTGTATTTTATTATATTTGTATTATATTATAAATGTATTTTTACAGATATATTTAGGAGAAGGTATTTCAGTTGGCCTTCTTTCGTGGGGAATGACAAAAATTGTACGGAAGCCTTCTTTATTTTTCAATAACATTCTATCACATATTTGGCCAGAGCATATTTTGAAAAATAGATGTCTTCACATGAAGAGAACTCGTTATAAGCCAACAAACGGTACACTTAAAAAACTTAGTCCAACAAAATTGGCTTTAGCACAAAGTCAGTTGATATCTCTTTGTATGAAATATTGTTATATACAGTAGGACCCCCCCAGTTAGAATTGCTCGGGACCGAAATTCTTAAATTGGAGGTCGTATTAGCACGGACCAAAGCAGGGCCGTAACACCGTATAGGGCAGTACCTCGTATACGTATTAAGGATGAATGAAGGGAACATGTAAAGTATACGAGCCTGACACATACTTGCACTTTCTGCACGTGGTACAGAATATTCTCTAAAATGCGCTTCGTATACAGGGGGGCATTCTTTCAGGGGGGGGGGGTTCTAACTTGGGGGTCCTACTGTATTATGTCAATTTTTTTACTTATATTTTATTAATGTAATTAATTTTCTCTTAGGTTTGTACAATGACTACCTTATTGATTCAAACATGACCTCTGAAAAACGTATAAGATATCTGAATGATTCATTTAAAATTATTTGTAACAAAATACGAGATGTTCGGAAGAAATTTTATTAACAGAAGAAAGAAGCTGATTCAAGAAATGTAAGAATAGAAACAAACATTGTGATAATGATATAAACATTTTATAAGATTTATTATATATGTTTATAGTACAATGTGATTATTTTTCTTTCAGCTAAAGATGCGATTTGGGCTGTATACAATCCAGTGCAAAAGTTGCAATTTTTTACTTTACTACATATAATTATAAATCGTTTATTTTTGTTCTTTTTAGTATTTTTATTTTGTTTTTCTTTGTATACTTTATTTTTCTATATTGTTATCATTCTGAACGATATATATATATATATATATATATATATATATATATATATA